ACAACGATAGTAAAAAGAAAAATTATTATTAATTTACATAATCAATGTAAAAGTTTATTAGAAATATCGCGAATTATAAACAGACCTCGATCTACTGTACAAAGTATTATTGATAGGTATGAATTAAGAACGAAACTGTAAAATAACTCAATAAATGGACGTCCACGGAAAATTAATCAGTACACTAGACGAGTTATCACAAGAATGATAAAACAGAATCCAAAGATAAGTGCTGTAAAAATAGTCGAACATCTTAAAAATAATTTAAAAATTGATGTATCCTCTAATACTGTAAGTAATTGTTTGCGAAATGAAGGATATCATGGTCATGCCAATACCAGTTGCACTCATACAGCTCCAAACAAGTACAAAACCTCCACCATGTTTCACTGTGGATCGCAATTTTTCTGATTTCAGGTTCTTCATTTTATCCCTTCATACAGTGCAGTGTCCATCAGATCCAAAAATATTAAATTTACTTTCGTCTGTAAAAATAACTCGATTCCAGTACTTTATTGGTCTGTTAATGTTATTATTTGCGAATTCCAATCTTTTTTTCCAATTCATTTCATTTACGAAAATTGATCGGTGTACGAATACTTTCTACACTCAATGTAATTACTAAGATTAAGTATGAATGAAAAATTGATCAACCGGTTTTGTAGTTATGTATGTGTATGTATATGTATATAATGTAATAAGTATGTAGCTTTATGATGTGTAGTAGTGAAACTTGATACAATAAAAAGAAATTTTAAAATCAGAAAAAAATATTCAATAGTCTGAAATATTAAACTGGCTTATCGCTGCATTGTTTATCACTTGTTTCTAAATACGTCATCACAGATATATTTGTCGATATTATTTGTTAATAAAAAGAATTTTTTCGTAAGAAAAAATTATGAAAAGACGATCAAAAAATCTCGGTATAATATGACTAAACATTACATGCTGATATTATTTTAACAAAAAATAACATAATACATTTTTAATTATCCTCTTATCGGTCTTCAGGTTTTAATATTGATATTAGGTTATTAACTATGAAATGTCTGATTACTTGGATTATTTTCATCTCGAAATCAGACATTTCATATTTAATGACATAATAATTTATTGCGAAAAAACAAATCAGCTAAAAAATCGCGTTTTTCCCTTCAAAGTGTTCCAAAAAAGTGAAAAATTGAAATTTCGAAAAATCCTCCCAGCGTTACCTGAGAAAAACTATTATTTAACGAATGAACTTTGATTTTTTGATTTCAGATGATCCAGCATCAAGTTATGAGGGACACCGCAATTCTACTTTTTTCCTGAGACACGTCCGAATAATTACTGCCATTGCCGTATTTTTTAATATTTCTTCGTGAAAATTTTATACAATATTCTTCGAATGTCATACTTTAATGTACCATTGGTTTTAATAAAGAGATTTTAACTGTGTTGTCACAAAAAATTCACCAAAATATGCCTTTTTTTGTACGAATTAACCTTCCCCCCCCCCCCTTAACCCTTTCGCTTCGGATGTCCAGTCCGCCGAAGTACTGTTACTGAACGGAGGCGCGCGCCGCGAATACGTCCAATATGCGTTGTTACTGTATATATGTTTTCCTGAGTCTTAAATTACTATTGTACCGAATAAAACAATCTTTGCTACAATATAATGAGTATAATTTACATTTTTGATATGAAAACATTTATAACTAATAAACATATATAACTTACATTTATAACTTACAAAGCTACAGGTAATATTTTTATTATGTGCGCGACGCTTATAAGCGGCGCTCGTACTCACAGGTCATATTGCGTACGCCGCTTATAAACGGCGCTTGTACCCACAGGTCGTATTGTGGACGCCACTTATAAGCGGCGCTCCAAGCGAAAGAGTTAAAAAAAGGTCATGGAGTTGTGGGTATGCAATTAAAAAAAGGTCATGAGTACAATAGCAATAAATAATTAATAAATAATTTTTATTATTTCTCAGTTACTAATAAAAAAGTCACCAAGAAAATTTCAAATTTTCAAGAGGGCGATAGGATAAAAAAGTTTGAGAACCACTGCTATAGAGTTTAAAACAAAATCTGACAGGGGTATCACTCTGTTAATTCCCTAGTTAGATTACGCCTATGACAAACAAATAGATCATTTATAAGATAAAAGTAAATCATATGAACGGAAAATGTGGTCACCCCTTAATTGATATTTCATCATATCGAAACATTTCGATTATTTCTTATAGGAAAAAATAAACGAATAATACCAGTCGTTATGGTAGGGAATAATCGGAAAAATTACGGTAATCATAAAAGTATCTAACAAAAGAATAATTGGAATTTATTTCGAAAGATTTTTTAACAATTTTTTCGAACAAAAATAAAGAAGAAAATATTAATTAATTATTTCAAATATAAACTTTATTTTTTATTTATACGTAATTGCAGTATGAAAGTTCAAATTTTACATTTCAATAATTTTTTTCATTGATATATTGAAAAAGAGAGAAAATATTAATAAAAAAATTAAATCGAACACAGATAAACAAAAATTTCATTTATGTGAATTTAAGATTGGTGTTTTCTTATGAAAAATAACCACAATTATTTATATCATATTAATTTAATGAAAAAAAAACAAAACAAAAAGAACAGGTCAATATTATATTGAAACAAATTTTAATGACCGTTTAAAAAAAAAACGATGTCAAATGTCTTTCTAAAAAAAATTAATACTTAAACTGTGAATTTTGTTTATTTTTTATTATTTTTTTTTTTCTTTTTTTACAAAACGCATACAATAATATTTTTAGTGGAAATTATCAAAATAACATGAAATATAAAATATCAGTATTAATAAAAATTGAGTACAAATTTCTAGTTTAAAAAACAATGACTGTGTGTGTGTGTGTGTGTGTGTGTAAAATATAAAATTATATATATAATATTTAATGAATTGAACGTAATATTAAATTTAATAAAATACAAAATACATAATAATAATCATTCCGAAAAAGGAAAAAAAAATTGTATTTTATTAAATTTTTAAACATGAAAACACGAGGACAACAAACTTAACAGAAAATAATTTATGTGGTACGTAATAATAAAATAATTTATAAATGAACACAATATTAAAATAATATAAATGACAATCTCATTTCAAATTTAAATTCGATTGAAATGACATCTTGACCAAAATTGACAAATTAAAATAAAATAACAAAAATCAAAAACAAAACATCGAAGAATTGTAAACCGTTACGTTAACAAAAAAAAAAGATGAATTCGGTTAATACAATCTACGTCACGAGAATACTACACAAAGTTATTGTAAATAGAAATGTTTACTAATCAGATATTAACGTATACAAATTTCGAAAATTAAAGACAATTATTTGTTATCTCATCTTTCAATATTCAAAATATTACATCTTAAACTTACAATTAAACACAATTATTTATTTTTCTGTTTTAATATTTGAAAGTTAAAAGTTTCTTTTTTTTTTTTTTTTTGAATATTGTACGTATTAACGTTTAAACTTATTATGTATATATATATGTAAGCAATTTGAATATATAATTTGTGTGAATATATTTGAATATATAATTGTATTTTTAATTTTATAATTTGTAATTAAGGAATGAATAATTCGAAATCATGAAACACATCTTCATTGTTTCCAAAAACATCTGACTCATCGTAATCTTACATGTTTTCTTCACTGTTAAATCTAATATATTCCTCGTCTGTACTACTACTTTAATCAAGAGAACTACTATCTAGACGAGAAGTCAAACGCGCTCTTAACACGTTGCCGCAAATGACGGCTATAGCCGTCCGATCTTCGTATTTCTAAGCACGATCGTCAAATTAAAAGTGTGCGGCAACGTGTTAAACGATTTTTAAACAGGGTTATTTTTTCGTTATTTATCTCATGAAACGAATCTTCATCTTCGCTAAAATTAAATAAACTTTCTTTTTCAACTTCACTACACAAATCTTCTTCGTTATCTTTATCAAAAGGATTTTCAACCGATGGTTTTTCTTCTTTTATTCCGTTAGACACATTTTCTTCTTGTTCGATTTTATCAAACACACTCTTTTCTTCTTTTACAATTTTAAGGATGAATTTTCTTCTTTGGTTTCATCGAACGCACTTTTTTCTTCAACTCCACATAATGAAATTTCAAGGGACGAATGTTCTTTTTCGATTTGAGTAAAAGAATTTTTTTTTGTAACTTCGTTTAAAAGATTTTTAGAGGACGAATTTTCTTCTTCGGTTTCATCACATGCACTTTCTTTTCTTTTTAATTTGTTAAACGTAATTTCAGAGTACGAATGTTCTTCTTCGATTTGATTAAACAATTTTTTTTTTTTAACTTCATTTAACGGATTTTTAGGAGACGAATGTTCATCTTCGATTTTATCACATGCACTTTCTTTTCTTTTTAATTCGTTAGACTTAATTTCAGGATACGAATGTTCTTCTTCGATTTGATTAAACGAATTATTTTTTTTAGCTTCATTTAAGAGATGTTTGGGGGACGAATTTTCTTCTTCTTCTTCTTCTTCATCTTCTTCGATTTCATTTAACGCACTTTTTTTTTCTTTTACTTCACGAAATGAAATTTCAGAGGACAACTTTTCTTCTTCAATTTCATCGCACGAACTTTTTTCTTCATTGACTTCACGAGACATAGTTTCAGGTGAAGAATCTTCTTCGTTATTTTGATAATTTTCAACGTACAGTTTTTTTTCTTTAATTTCGTTAGATGCTTTTTCTTCTTTTGCAATTTTTTTCAACGAATTTTCTTCATTAACTTTATTTAACGGATTTTCAACGTACGTTATTTCTTCTTTGATTTCATTAGACGCACTTTCTTCTTTTTTGATTTCATTCGAAGAATTTTCTTCTTCAATTTGATTAAACGAATTTTCTTCATTAACTTTATTAAATGGATTTTTAAGGTACGTATTATTTTCTTTGATTTTATTATACGAACATTCTTTATTCGCTACATTAATCGTAGCTTCAGAATTTGAATTTTTTTCTTCAACTTCATCAAACGAATTGTTTTCACTAATTTCAATAAACACAATTTCCGTTTGGAGTTCAGTATTAAGGTACGTAATTTTTTCTTTCACTTTTGAATTTAATCTTGCAACTTTATTCAACGAATTTTTGTCTTCGACTTTATTCAACGGATTTTTCTTTTTAATCTTATTAACCGCACTTTTTTTGGGAATGTTACAAATCGAAATTTCGGGATAAACAGTTACAGAAAGTGAATCTTTTCGTTTGATAACACGTAACATATTTTCCTTTTCTTTATCAGATTCGTCGTTAGAAATCTGACCATTTTTACTTTTAACTTGTTTTGCTTTACTCATTGTAACAATTAAACGATGAATCACTTTTCCCATTTTGATCATACTTGGTGTAATCAATGCCGGTGATTCTTGAGTAACAAGATTATCATCCATAAGCAAAGCTAAAGCGTGTAAATACGCACCTTTCAATTCTAATTTTTTCGCATAATCTTCCGATATTAAATTTACATCACTATTTTTGATCTTATCATTTTTGATCCCAGAATTCTTAATGATATTCATTTTTATAATAACTCAATTACACTGAAACTGTGGTAAGAAGAACAAAAATTGATTAAATATTTACTGTTATATAATTTGGAATTATTTATTCTTCAAGAAAAACGTCCGTTCGCAACGAAATCTGATTGACTAATAAAACATATTGCTATACGTATTTTGTTCATTTCTTAAATAAAAGATTCGAAATCTTTTGTCCCCTACTTCTTATCGTACTTCTACTGTTCAATGATTTAATAAATGGTCTTTCTTTAAATGATAAAAGAAATTCAATCGCTTAAACCGTCAAATGCAATAACAATGAAAACAAAACAAAAGACTACAGAAAAAATATCGTTCCGTTAACGGAAGATCTGATAAAAGAGGATGAGAAAACGCGTATAAGAAAAATGAAAGGAAAGAAAAAAGAAATGATCGAAAATTACAAATATTAATATTTATATAATTTGTTCAATTATGTATATTCAGTAAATTAATTTAATATAGATGTGTATAATACAAGGAAATAAAGCAGAGATATAGATTTAAATAAAATAAAACATTTTTATGTAAAGCGTGTACGAGTAAAAGAAACTTAATGTTGCTAGTGTAGTGTGCGAAAAAGTGATTGGTCGGATTTAATTCATAAAGGAGTGGGAGAAACGCGAGACGAGAAGGAAGAAAAGTGACGGAAGAAATGGTAAAGGTAAAGGGGGGAATAAGATTATATAGTAGATAACGTGAATTCAAATTTAATACAACAGTTTAAAATAAACTTATCCTATGTGTATGTGTGTGTGTATACTAATTATAAGATATTTCGTTTGTTTATTTTTGTGTTTTACTGTGTTCAGTAACCACATTCGGTAATGTAAATATGATAAAATATCTTACCGGTTACAATAGAGCAATACTGCAACAACATGTTTACAAGTACCACTTAAATCACCTTTGCATGAACAACCCATTCCAATTATTCGACCATCTTTTAATATTTCACCAGTTATTTCATGTGGATTATCTTTAATATGTGAAGTTTGTAAACAAAAAGCTCAAATACTTACAATATTACAATCACTACATGGTACTTGCCCACACTTAATCACATGTCCAGCATTTAATACACTTTCACCATCAACARAACTTTTATTGCTTGATTCTGTGCAAGCAAATTTAAAAATTTCTTGCAATATAAGTTTCATTTTATTAAATTTAATTACAAGACAATGATAATTTTATAAAAATATTTTTGCGCTGTTCTCTAAGTAACCTTCAGATTCTAGTTTCTTTTTTTGCCGCTAGAGTAAGCCACCCTCTGCCAAAGATCCCAATAGATTTTAATAAAACAAATTTGTGCGTACCGATACGTGTAAAAGTAATTTATTGTTAGTAGTGTAGTGTGCGAAAAAGTGATTGGTCGGATTTAATTCACAGAGGAGTGGGAGAAACGCGAGACGAGTAGGAAGATGGGTGACGGGTGGAATGGTAAAGGTAAAGGGGGGAATAAGATTAAATAGTAGATAACATGAATTAAAATTTAATACAATTGTTTAAAATAAACTTATCCTATATATATATATGTGTGTGTATACTAATTATAAGATATTTCGTTTGTTTATTTTTGTTTCTTACCATTTAACAAACAACAAAGATTGAAAATATTCTTACATTAGTATTCTTTTTTTACTACAAATATTAATCGTTATATAATTTGTCCAATTTTTCAGTAAATTAATTTAATACAGATAACATGAGAAAATACAGCAGATATTGGGATCTCTAGCACTTGAATACGCCATCTGGTGGCTAAATTCAAAATTAATATAACATACCGGATTGCTGACAGTTGATTTCAAGTGTACGATATTTATGTAGAAATATTTATATTTTTCGTTAACTAAAATCGTTAAACTAAAAAGTTGTTGTAAGAATTTTGTTTGTTTGTTATGGAGTTCCTAGCAAGATAAAATAAAAGTAAACTAAGTTGCTGTGTAATTGGTTGTACAACTAAAAATTGTCGTGATGAAGAAATAAGTTTTTTTCATTTTCCACCTTGTAACAAACAATTTGTTTATCAAGTAAACAAATTTGGTGAAAAAAAATAATTGATAGACATATAGCTTGGGTACAAGCGCTAAACATTAAAAAAAGTATAACTCCCAGTATGAGAGTTTGTTCACTCCATTTTATTAAAAATGATTTTTTACCTTCAAGTAAGTGTTTTTAACAATTATTTTTTCTGGTTATTATAAATTGGTAAATCAATAAATTTACTCATGCTTCTATTTGGTGTGTGTGTTGTTACAGCTATTGATTCAACTCGATCTCATTTAAAAAAATAAGTGTTCCTAGTCAAAATCTTCTTTTAGGATCATCCGAAGAATGTGCTTATCCTATAGATCAAATAGATTCTCAAGAAGAAAGAATACTTAGAAGATCAATTAAAATGGAACTAGAGACTGATAATGATATTGAAAAATTGAATCTAAATGGAAAAAAAGGGAAGAAGAGGAAGAAAGATCAAGGTGATAAAAATGAGGAAGGAGAAAAAGATGACGATGAAAACGAAAAAGAAATTGGTAATAACATAAATTGTATTGGACCTCAGACAATATCCGGTTCTACTAAGAAAAATGCACTTTTCTTAAAAAAATGTAAAGGTATAGGGGTAAAAGTTCAAAGTGACTTAATGATCCCAAAATTCTCCTCATTAATTACATCAAAAGAAGAATTAAGTACACTGACTGGTATTCCTACTTTTGAAGTATTAAATTTACTGGAAGAATTAGTCGTAACTGTAGGACCAAAACACAAAACATCTTTAAGATTTGACTTGCGAGAAATGATTTTGATACTTTTATGATGCTAAAGCAGAATTTATCTTACGCTGTATTAGCAATTTTTTTTAAATGCTCTGAAGATATATGTAAAGATATTATTTTTGATATGATAAATAATTTAAATCTGTGTTTAAAACCTGTTATCTATTGGCCAACAAAGAATAATATTTTAAAAAATATGCCGAAATGTTTTAGAGGCTTAGAAAATGTTCGCGTAGTTATTGACTGTACAGAGGTTTGCATCCAGAAACCTTCAAAATTATGTTGCCAATTACAAACTTACTCAAATTATAAAAGTACRTACACTGTAAAGTTTATGACTGGCATGACACCAGCTGGATTAATTTCTTTTGTAAGCAAACCTTACGGTGGACGTATTTCGGATAATATGATTTTTGAGCAAAGTAATTTGTTAAAAAAAATGGATAAAAAAGATGCATTATTAGCAAACAGAGGATTAACTGTTGATAATCTTTGTAAAGAATATGACGTGACTTTTATATCACCAATATTTCTTGGAGATAAAACTCAGTTCTCCAAGACAGAATCATTATTAAATCACAATGTTGCTAAAGCGTTCGTTCATATCGAACGCTGTAAACAACAATTGAAATGTTTTAATATCTTAAACGACAAAATGCCAATGTGTCTTCTCAGTAAAGTTGAAGAAATTTTTAATGTTATCTGCGGTCTAGTAAATTTGAGTGCACCAATACTAAAAAATGATGAGTTTTTTTCTTAAACTACGAGGTAGGTTCATTTATAATAAGTACTTTATTTTATATTATTTATTACATTTTAGAACGTCAGCAAACTTTAATTTATGAACTTTTTAACTCTTACAAATTACATAATTAATACAACATTTAACAAAAGTAAAAATTTTTCAATCTTGTTTTTGTTTATCACCGTGTTTACATACTACTTGAGCCATTTTATTAAAATAAATTTTTGTTAAGGAATACAACAAATTTTAAGCGTACTATATATCAAAGCTGATAGGTATTATCAGCAATTTATTGTCACATGGAGTATAAATTATAAAATAAGTTGTGAGGAGATTTAATTATTGTTTGAAATTTGGATAGCTTCATGTCTTCCAATTCTGAAAATAAAAATTACACAGAAGTATATAATAGAATGAAAACAGTAAATCATTGAAATTCCGAAATAATTTATTTGTAATAGTTTCTTATTTAATTTGAAAAAAAAATCGTACTTAGAAGTTAAAAATTAATTCACGTAATAGTTTAATATGTTTTGTATAAAAAGAAAAACATGATTCTTTTATATAATAACTTAAAAAAAAAATGTGTAAATAAAATAATAGCAGTTCGAAGATTAAAATATACAAATAATAGAAATTGATAATATAGATTATTTTAAAAATTGCTTGCGAAAATAAAAGAATGAAAAATCTGGTAAAAAATTTACATGTGTAAAGCCGAAGCAGTAGACTCAAGTTTAGCAACCATTAAATTTCTTATTTTTGTATTTTCCTCCTCAGACAGCTGGAAATTTTCATCTGAATCCTTGGATTTAGTGTTGTCATCATTAGCTTAAGTCTCGTAGGGGTTTTTTTTCGATATTTAGCATTTAAAACTTTTTTTTTCGACATTGAAAAACATTCACGTTCGTCCAATGGCTTCGCTTCATATTTTTCTAGTGATGATTTATGAGGTTGGTTCCCTATGCACTTTTTATCAGTGTACGTGATCTTTTGTAAACTCTCCAAATCATTTCTGTAAAATTGAAAAACAATTATAATAAATAAACTGTTGGAGTCACAGAGTAATCACAATAGGTAATGTAAATATGATAGAATATCTTACCGGTTACAATAGAGCAATACTGCAACAACATGTTTACAAGTACCACTTAAATCACCTTTGCATGAACAACCCATTCCAATTATTCGACCATCTTTTAATATTTCACCAGTTATTTCATGTGGATTATCTTTAATATGTGAAGTTTGTAAACAAAAAGCT